TATTTACTAATGACAATGAATCACTGTATAGTGCTGAGGCACCTGCTCCCTAGGCATACAACCTGTGCTCATCTAGAAACCGTTTTTAAACTTTTGTGTCAAAAGGACACATACATACACACACTCAAAACTATTCTTAATGCTTTGCCAGTCTTTTGTAATTTTATTCAGCAACTGAAGCTTAACTACTCTGAATTCTAGGCCACGAATAAATAGCAGCCTTTGTTACTAATCTGAAGACCTGCTCCATACTGGTTTGTAGGTTTTTTTTTTTTCTCCTTCTGTTTGGGTGTTGCTGTTGATCCAGAAGGAGATCCCCTGAAAATTAACTGTTGCCTGTTTTCTGTGGAGAACAGAGATGGCTTGAACTTTTTATTACACGTGCATTCCTCTCACACACCATGACCAAGTGAAAGCTAACAGTTTGCTTCAACACGGCCTTACAAGAAAACATAAGATAACATAAGGCATACTAAACCAAGCACTAAATTAAAAACTACCTCAGGCTGCCCAGGATGTCCAAAAGAAATCGTTCACACAGCGTGACTCACCTGTGGCCAGCCACATTGGTCTGAGTGATAAGATTAGTCGTAATGTAAATCGTTCTACAGCCAAATCCCCTTGTTAATTTTGCTTTCTTTTTCCGTTCCCTTTTTGAAGAGAAGGAACATGAACTTTGCATCCGAGAGAGACTAGCTGAAGACAAACTGGCCCGAGCAGAAAGCCTGGTGAAGAACTACAGCTTGCTGAAGGAGCAGAAGTTCCCGTCTCTGGCAAGCAGTCCAGGTATGCCAGTCAACTCTGCACTGGAGAGATATCCACCAGTGGTGGTCTCTGGGTAGCTTTGTCTTATATTTTATAAAGTCAGAATTTAAGGTGAATTTCACTGAATCAATGAAATTTAGTAGAAATAAGATTCTATTACCCTACTGGCTGACTTATGAGAATCTCGTAAGTGAGGCAGTGAGTCAGATCATTTTATCTCTTATATACCTTATCAGGCTATCAGTTTGATAGCTGAGTTTTTTTTTTTAATGAAAGCATTTTCAAAACTAGTGTGGATTTGATCAAAACTATTTTCAGCTGGGCACTGGTGGCCCAAGCCTATAACCCTAGCTCCTCTGGAGGCTGAGATCTGCTGAGGATCATGGTTTGAAGCAAGCCTGGGCAGGATAGATAAGTCTGTGAGACTTATCTCTAGTTAACCACCAGGAAATGAAGTGGTGCTGTGGCTCAAAGTGGTAGAATGCTAGCCTTGAGCAAAAAGAGCTCAGGGACAGTGCCCAGGTTCTGAGTTCAAGCCCCATGACCAAGCCAAATAGAACAAAAAAACCTTCTGTTTTCTTCTGTACATTTTCAAGCATAAGTCCTAGCATTTTAATACTGACACCTTATGCTTCCAAGTATGGCTGCGTGATAAGGCAACTGCAGAAGAAGTGTGTGTTCTGGTCTTTGCTAAGCCACTCTGGAGCTGATGACCAAAACCCATGCCTCTTCAAAACACAATCTCCTGTTCTCACCTCGCATCATAGCAGGCAGACTCATCGTAGCAGGCAGTCGGTTCACTCAGGGTACTGCCTTCTGTTGACACCATCCTTTCCCACGTGATGATGTCTGTACCAGGGGAGCTTTCTCTGTTTCACAGAAAAATCTGTGAGAATTTCATCTCCTTAGGATTTGGGAAAATGCAAAGTGCAGAAACAGCTTTTCTCTTGATTTCTTTATGACAGACACAGATTATTTGTTCAAAGTCTTTGGTTGAGTTTTACAAAATTAAGCATCTGAGGTTGTAATGGAACTTCTTATGGTCCCTTTATTTCATGGAGAAGAGCATGTGTGAAGGCACCATTTTCCATCCTTAATAGACCATTGAGAGAGAGAGAGTCTGGATTTGGTATGTGTGGTAGCATTTTGTAAGTGGGACAAAGAAAATTTTGTTAATGGGTTGATTGCAATAACTGTAGTGCATAATACTAGAAAGGAACAATGAAACTAATGTTGGCTATAATGATGAAACAGATTACACGGAACTTGAGCTGTATCTGTTAAAGTATCTCTTTTCCTAAATTTGTCATTCCAGTGACTTTTCAGTACTGAGACTTGAACTCAGAGCTTGCAAGCATTCTACCACTTAAGCCATATCCCACTCCTTTGCTTTCAGTTTATTTGTTAGATGCAGACTTTGCCCTGGCTGGCTGAAAATGAACCCTTCCTGTCGCTGCCTCTTGATTAGCTGAGATTATAGGTGTGTAGCCACACCTGACTTATTTCTGAGATAGGTTTTCACTAACTTTTTCCTGGGCTGGCCTTTGAACCGTGATCCTCCTATTTCTGTCTTCCAAGAAGATAGGTTTATAGGTGTGTACCTCCCACTGTTCAGCCCCTCAGTTCTGCTTTTTTTAGACTCCACACTGCTATCCGTAAACAATATACTTAAGACATCCTTAGGTGATAATTCAAGGAGGAAAGTTTTATTTGTCTTGTTTTATATATCCAGAGAATTTTTGAAGACTCCTTTGGGGATCACTCTTCTAGTTTCAGTTTATATCTTGCTCTGATAATCTTTGAGCAAAGGATGAAAATAGCTATAGATGATGTCTTTCACTGTATGGAAGACAGAAAAGTCTAGGAATTTACCTGAGGGGGAATGA